CAGTGGCGCAGGAACTATTTTTCATAAGGGGGGGCAAAACATAAAAAAAAACCTAACAACTATTATAATATATTTATTTGTAATTGATAACAGAAAACCTTTCTTATTATTTTATTCTTTTAACGTTAATATAGGTAGTTTAATATATAGGTATATACATAAATATATGTATATATATTTTTTTTATTTAAAAGTTTACCAGCTAGTTTAACATAGCAAAAGTTTACCAACATATAAATGTATAAATTTAATGATTAAATTTATACATTTATATATTGAAACAAAACATGAATCATATTTACGTTATACCTAAAGTTAAAATAACAGTTAAACAGTATCTAAATAAATATAATAAATAAGTTTTAAAAGAAATATATTTACTATATACCTGAAGTTGTATTCAAGAGTAACAATATATTATACAGAAATATAAATAAATGAAATATAAAAAATGTATTCGATTTATACCTTAGTCCTTAAGTTATATTCTAAAGTAACAATGTGTCAATATTTAAATAAATATAAAATAAAAATAATAAATAAATACCTGAAGTTGTATTCAAAAGTAACAATATATTATACAGAAATATAAATAAATGAAATTTAAAAAATGTATTTAATTCTTACCTTAGTCCTTAAGGTATATTCTAAAGTAACAAAATGTCATTATTTAAATAAATATAAAATAAAAATAATAAAATAAACTTCACAAAGGTTATTTTTTAAAAAGAATTACCTATAAAATTAATAAAAATTTCCAAATTTTGATTTCCTTTCTGAAGTTCTGGAAACAAATTCTTTGGCAATTAACTTCAAATCAATTTTTGCTGTCATAGACTTATGAACGTGTAAAATCATCAAATGAGTTAATCTCTTTTGGGTCATTGTGGACCTCAGATATGTTTTTAGTCTTCTCAATGCACTAAAAGAACGTTCAGCAGTCGCTGCAGATGCTGGTATTGTTAAAATTAATTTAATAAGCTTGGTGATTTCAGAAAACAAAGAATCTTTTACATTTGAATATTCATTTCTCAAATGATTTATAATATCTGAAATACTAGTGATAGATACTATAGACGGTAACATAATAAGCTGGGCATGGAGTTTATTAATGTCAAAATCCTCACTCATATTATTTAAACAATTAGTAAGTTCTTGGTGAGTTCTTGTGTTTTGATCTACAAGTATGTGTTCTAATTTAACCAAGTTTTTTAGACCTTGTTGATTAAAACGCCTATCAATTTCATTTATCAAATAGTCAATTATTTCAAACATATCTTTCTTCAATTCACATATTGGTGATAATTTTGTAGGAGGGTTACTTGTATATTGAAGTCGTTTTGGTGTTTTTTTGATACGCTTAGTGTCATCAAGTGGTTCTAATTCATATATTTCAGCATTTAAATTCACGGTATTTAATATCTTTTCAAAATATTCATTACTTCTGAATGATAGTAATGTTTTCTTTAATGTATCTGCAGCTTTAATTGAATCTGATGCACAAAATTTAGGATTTTGTAATACTTTTGCTAATTGTTCTACAGGACCAAAAATATGTATTGCAATAGTCAAAAAAAAAATTGTTTTTAATTTTTTTAATTTTTTCACATATCCTCTAAGTGTGAATTTTCTATCATCTGCTATACAAACACTCCCTGAAAGCATTTCATCTAATGTTTTTTGAACTCTGCTATAGTTATTTAAAAATCTTGTTAAACTTTTAACCCTTACAGACCATCTAGTAGGACAAAATGGAAGTAGATTTTGTTTTACACTACCCAATTCAGAGGAATTGTAACATGGCTCTAATACTATATTTTCATAGATACTTTTTCTCTTAGCAGATTCAAGAATAGCATTTGATACATCTCTGATCATAGTGAAGGTATCACACATAGCACTATTTTTTCTTGCAACTTCTTGTAATGCTAAATCCAGTGAATGATTACTACAGTGTACAAAACAACTTTTTGGCTGAATATTTTCAATTAATTTTTTCACCCCATTCAATTTCCCAGACATATTGGCAGCTCCATCAAAACAGTGGCCTCTTAAATTTGATGTAGATAAAGTAAATCGTATTAATATGTCTTTTATTGTGTCAAAAAATGTTAATGCTTTACTATCAGGTGTATTATATAAACCAGTAAATACTTCATGTACTTCAAAATTTGAATCAACATAGCGAATGCATAATGAAAACTGTTCTGTAGACGAAATATCAGTAGTTGAATCAGCAATTATAGAGAAGTATTCTGATTTTGTTATTGATTGCACAAGTTCACGCTGTAAATTTAATGACATTATTTCTAATATTTCATTCTGAATATCTGAACTAAGCCAATTATTTCTCTGTTGTATCCAATATCTTAAGCATGGAACATCTACACATCTTTCTTCTAATAAGGAAATAAAATTGCCATCATTATGAGAATGACCTCTAATACTTATTCCCATCTGACTAAGGTATCGCAAAGTACTAATAATTGTTAATAAGGCTGTGGATGCATTTTTTTGTTCTTCAATTTTTTGTTTTGATAATAAAGAAATGACTGATACATTAGTATTAATACTTAAAAGAAAATGTATAGAGTTGACGTGCATTTTACTGTTTTCATGGGACTGAAATTTTTCAGATGCTTTTTTCCAATTATTAAAACCATCTACTATAAAAGATAACTCTGTGTGTTTATTTAATTTATTATTTGTCTTATGATAAAATGAAATACAATCAAAACAAAATGCACTATCTTTAGATTCATCATAATGAAGCCAGGCAAACATTTCAAACCACTTTGCACAAAATGATCTTTTTTTGTGTTTTGGAAAAATAAAATTATTTGATGGTTGATTTTTTGTTTCAATTATAGGAAGAATGGGTTGACTACTTTTTTTTGAAATTGAACATGTTGAGGCGACATTACTGATATTATTTTGTAAATCCTGTTCTATCTCTGACTCCTGAAAAAAAACTTAGAGCTGAATCAGAGAAATAAATGCCCAAACAACACTTAAATGCATGCATTTATTAATATTATACTGTCATTGTTTATTTAAAAAGTTTTTGAAATTTTTTCTTTAACACAAACTAGTCTGTAGACTGTAGTCCTTACTGCACTACTGCAGTTAGTAGTATGAAACTATGAAATAACAGTCTTAATTATTATACGATTTAAAAATATTTAAAAGTTGTTATTTACTTTTATTTAACTTAAATTTAACCTTATATAAAAAAAAATACTTATTGTCAGTGAAATATATTCAAAATTCAAAGAAAACAGTAAAATTCCTCTAAGATTTACTCAAAATATAAATTTTATTAGGTAAATGTAAAATATTTCTTCTTTTTAATTTTGGTTGGAAAATATAAACATTACACTGGAAATTATTTAAATTAAGGCAACTAGATACATAAACCGGCTTTTAACCATCATTAATTAATAATTAATCATTTTAATAAAATTAAAAAGCATAATAATCTCGGGTGTGTACAGTTGACATAAATACATAATATATTATAAATACAAGTAGGTAATTATTATTATTAAATTAGCTTAATTAAATCCAGTTTAGTGCCTATAACATATTTTGTTCTACTGTCTACAAAATATTAATTAACGACATTAGTAGTTGAAATATATTTGAGTAGGAAATAAAAAAATAATTGGTGGGTATCTAAAAAGTAAAATTATTATTCGTTCAACAAAAATATTGCTTTGTAGAAATCAGTTTGATTTAGGTATATTGATATATCACTATATCAGTTATATTTATATTTATAACAATTTATTTTACTAGACAGATTAATAATTACAACAAATAAAACAAATTTATTTGAAAGTATGTCTTAAACTTACCTCGTTAGGTATAAGTTCCTGAATTTTCACAGGTGTTTTCAATTTGAAAAAGTCTCTAATATTTTTTTTTGGATTGGGAACAGCCATTGTAGGTACCGGTACGTGTTACGTGTTTAAACAATTACAGTTGGTAAATATTTAATATGAATGTTACTGTAAAGTACTAAAGTGTAAACTGTATTCTGTATTTCTGTAGCGACAGCCGACAGTCAACGATCACGACAGCGTACTCATTTAATAGTCGTAATCAGTAATCACTAATCGCCAATCGGAATCTTATCGTAAACGATATAAACTGTAAAAACCCAAAAATAGCCTAATGATATTGTAATAACTAATAATAAACAATATTGTAACTATGTTGTGAGAACACTATCCGGGACTGGTGGAACTTCCAATTATAAATATTTGATAAAGCACTCCGACCGAAAACGTCTATAAAAATTACTCAATAATATTATGTTTATATATTGTATTATGTTATAATAATAAATCGATAATAATAATAATAATATTAATTATTATAACGCACACTCATGAAAATGACTTATTTTGAATACGTAAACGTATAAATTAAGCGTAAATTACGATTATATTTTACCCTTTAATTTTAATGTGGTAGGGGGGGCAAAATTATACTTTTGCCCCCCTTGGATTTTATCCGAGGGGTCAATTGCCCCCTCTGCCCCCCCTTCTCCGGCGCCACTGTATGTGGATCTAAAGATTAAAACGTCGCATATTATTCGGAGGCTTTTTGTCTTTAACCCCACTGAATTTCCACCTCATTAAATAATACCGTACCGTCCGTACCCTTGCCGGCCGCAATAATATAATTATATATACAATGTAAATCTAGTAACTATTTAAATAATTGAATGCGACGATAATACAGAACAATATTTGTGTGTCAAACGACTATTTTGCCAAGTTTTACTTAGATTCCACAAACCTACACAGTTGTGTAAGTACACTAAGTAGGTATAAATGTAAATAAAGACACTACAAATTCATATTATACACTATAGGCATTTAGTATAAATATACTTTAACACATACGCAATAAATTATAAACGAACGTCAGAGAGGCGTATGAAATTGTAGCTATTTTTACAACTTACTAGAGAAAAATATAGGTCATTCAATGACCAAAAGTCAATATGAGAAATGTGACTGATATGCACCTTTCTTTTACGAGTTTCTCAACGCGTCAAGTAATTTTATTCATTTTGGTCCATGTAAGTGGCTCCACTCATTATTTAAAATTTGTTTAACTTTTTTGAAAACATTATTTTTACTTAATAATTTTAAATATAATGGTATATCATTTTTGAAAAAAATATATGTTTTTTACAATTTTTATCGTTATTACTTTTTAAGTTTTTAAATTTTTTCAAAGAGAACATAGATTTTGAACATCATATTCTTAAGTGTAACATTTGTCAGTGAATACATAAAAATCGAATTTTGAATTCGAACTAGTAATTAACTAATTAGTAATACACTTATACCTAAGTATTTAAAGTTTAGATAAGTGGAGTAATGGGCCAGCATTTTGTATGGTGTAACTCAATGTCACCTAAAAGATTGCAAGCTCGATTGAAAAGCTTAAAAATATAACACATAATCTTCATAAGTTTTGTTCATAGAAATTTAAATACACCACAATTATGTACGTATGTAGGACATTTCAGGTTCATATTGACGTTTTTGATGTATTGAAATTATTTCTAAAATTTTAAAAATTAAAATTAAAATTGCTAATTAATAATGTTGTATAACTTATAAGACGAATTACGGTGATTTTGGTAAAATTTAGTTCAACATATTATAGGTACAGTACTACTAATAGAAAAATAAATTACTAATAGGTATTAGGTACCTACTTAATATAATATGTATGTACGATTTCAATAGATTTAATTACAATAATGAGCATTCCAAATGTTATTATTCCATTTTATACAACTCTAAAAAAACTCTAAAGTAAAGGAAGGTGTAAGTAGCATGGAAATGGTGCGTTTTATAAAAGAACGTTATTTTCATCATTAAAGCTAAATAGGAATAATATATTAATAATGTATTTTTGGAATAAAATATTTAATTTTTCTATATGGGTATTATATATAATTCGTTTCGTCATTTCATGAAAATAGAAGGCGTATAGATGAATAATCACAGATAAAATAAAGATTTTTGGATATACCTTAGATATTATATTAGTCTTATATTTTTTTTGGCTATTTAAATTGATCACGGACTGAGATCTAATATTTTAGTCATTGAAATTGAAAATTGACTATAAGTGTTTTGCTTATAATTATATCGATATGCATTAGAAGTGTATTATTTATAATTATACTAAAACATGTAGTTTGTTGTGTAGTCCCCCCCCCCATTTTTAGATGCCTAAATCCACCCCTGATATCATATATTATTAATTTTTTAATCTAATAAATTACATTAGATATATGATTTATGATCCAGAATCATACACATAAAAAATAATGTCCATAATTCAAATTTGTATAATTATCGACTTGGTAATATTCTCAAACAATAAAGTGTTATCTACTAATGGTTCAAGCATTATCATTTTTGTTCTCTTCGTGAGTTCGATTATGAGGAAAATGGCTCGTTATATTATTTTTGTCGAGAATCTGGTCGGCTAGACTAAATTGATAAGAATAGAGGTTTGTGATTTTTTTTAATTTGTACAAATGGGTCAATGCACTTATACTAATAATGGCCGATGAAGGGGATGATATTTCGTATAGATATTTAGTAAGGTTATTGATGTCTAAGATTGATTGCGTATTAATAAAACATGTTTGGTATATACATATACATTAATTGCGGACCAGCAACCCATTGTTGCTCGATTCACTGTAAAATACATAGGTATTAGTAATGAGAGTGAATATTACATTCGATCCGTCATTTTAAAATGAGGCATAATAAATTATGTACCTGCGACTTACAAGTACTTTAGTTTATCCATATACGTTATACGTATCTATAAAACAATATGATTTTCTTCGAGTATATTAATTAATAAATAATAAGTAATATTATTTAATCCACGCTTTACAAAGATAGAAAAGTGCCGTTGTAAACAGTATACAATAACTAAAAACACAACTGACAAAAGTTACAATGAAAGTTATGTTTTTTATAAAATATTCTTGTCACTCTACTTGAATTATTTCAGAGTTCAAAATTATAATCACATATTTCATAAAGTATAACAGAAAAAATTCAACTATACAGTTCCTGAATTTGTTCAAGCAATATCATAACCAAATATCTATACTATATTCATATTATAAATCATACTTACTCGATAAACATTTTTAGTATAAGTATTTTAAATAAATATTTAAATACTCGAATAAAAAAGTACTTGAATATACTTTGTTATGAGTACTTAAATATAAATACTTTCAAAAAATATTTCAAATAATTTTACATAGCTACTTGGTTTTTTTTTTGTAAATAAATGTTCTTGTATTAAGTCGTTTTTTCAATTGAGTGGAGACAAAGTTAACTTACAAATCCCAATAGAATTCAATATAAAAGTAAACTGGTGCTTTTTTAGTGTTTAGTATTTTTTTAAATAAAAAAATATGTTTTAAATACTTTTTTTAAACGCACTTCAAATATAAAATGTAATGTTAATACTTAACAAGCATGAAATAAGAAATGCAATTAATAAAATTGAATATTATTTAAATTTTAAACATCATTATT